AAGGACGACGAGTGACACATGAGGTCCTGCTGCCGCTGCTGCTGACCAACTGCAAATCTGGAAATCTCGGTGAAAAGTTTGGCCTGACTTTGCATTAGCCGCGCATTAAAAATGCACAGGAAAAGGATCGGCCAGCAAGGTTGGGCGACACAATTTACCTGTGCCGACACCCTTTCACCCACCACCCAGCCACCGCCCAACCGCCCAACCACCCAAAAACCCAACCAACCTACCCACTTGTCGTGGGCTGTCACAAAACTGTCACTCAAACGTAATTAACACCGGAGATGGAGGACTAAAGTGGCTCAATGTCGAGTGGGAATGGGCACGTTTTACCATTTTTCAGCCGAAACTTGATTTTTCAACGGCCAAAAGGAAAATGTTCCTGGCGGAAAACAACAAAAAAAAGACATCTAAGGGCAATTAGAATTTAAAATGGAAAATCCAGATTCCCTCTTACAATTAGGAAAATTGTTGTTGGACGCAAAAACTTTCTTCGTGTTCTGTCATTAAATATGTAAGAAGCGAAAATTAACTTTAATTGCAATTTGATCTTGGGATGGCCATTGATAAATTCGTTTGTGGGTTTTTCCCCGTCTTTTGACTTGCGACAAAGTTCCATTTGAGGGAGGTCAAAGGTTAAAACTTTTTGCTTTCGGTTATTAGGTTAATTGGAAGTATTTGTAATTGAACACCGCTATAATGGGACAATGATGTTTGAAAATGGGTTAAGGGAAAGGAAATTGTTAAAACAATTGACAGAAGCCTTTGTAGAAAATTTGGTACGAAAAATACACTCCAGTTAAAGATATTAATTGTTTGAGGTTATCAAAAATAAAAATATATTATCCAGCTGCCCTTAGTTCAAATTTGACGATAATAATATTCTGGTTTTATATTGATATTATTGACATTTCAGAAAAGGTGCAAAAAATAAAAGTCAATGTTTTTTTTTAATGCTCTCATCCATTTGCCAAATTAAAAGTTGATTTTAAACTAGAAAAAAAAAAGCTTAACATAAAAGAAAAAAGACATAAATTTATTTAGGTAAAATCCATAATAAATCTGAAATTATTCTTAAATTTTTTTATTGTAAGTTAATGTCCCATTTTATAAGTTAAAATCCCAACTATGCAGATCTGAAAATATCACGAGCTCTTGCCCAACCTCAAACCAAAGACTCAAACGACAAACCTGGCGACGTCAGCAACAACAACACGAGTCAATTAGCAAATCGAGAGCTAACTGTTCAAAACCGAGAAACCCGAATCGACAGCTCCATCGACAGCCATCTCTTTCTACATGTACATTTCATGTACTGGCATTTATTGTTGTTGTATTTCTGGTGCAAAAGCGGTAGAAGCAACGCATGCGCCGGCAGAGAGCTCTGCGATTGGCCAACATAATCAGCAGCCAATGACAGTTACGGAAAAATCTTCCTACAAAAGAAGAAAACCTAAATAAAACATTCAAAAAACAGGTGGGAAAAGGAGAAACAAAAGTTGTGCTGGGGCTAAAATAGTGAAAAGTGATTTTTTAATTGCTTTAATAGTTTTACGGCAACTGGCGGGGGAAATGGGTTAAAAGTGTTGAAAGAGAGGGTAGACAGGTGAAAAATCGGAGTGTACACCTAAAGAAAATGTTATTTTAACCTCTTGTAATTATTATTGAATTTTTAGGATTATTAATCACAATAAATTAAAAACAACTTAAAATATTTTTATTGAATTTGGTTCATTTAAAAAGAAAAACTTTTTATACATTATAATTGTACACTAAAGTACAAAATTATATTTTTCCAAGTGAACTTTTGTTTCTGACATTTCGCACAAAAGCGAGCTTTTATTTGTTGAATTTTCCTGGCGTTTTTCCTGCCAATGCTGTCACTCCCGCCGCTGCATGCATAATTAATTTGGCTTTTAGTGACTGCATTGTGCAGTCCTTGTTCTGGCCAACGGATGTCCTGCTATATCCTCTGGCGTCACGATGGTTTTTCGCAGCAATTTGCTTGCCACATTGACGGGTTCGCGCTAATGGCTTAAACGTGTTTTTGCCTTTTTGGCTTTCTTTTTTTCTCATATGTATATCGTTTTTGGCGTCAATTTAACTTTTTTACTTTTTCAGTTGTCTTTTGTTGTGTTTATTTGCGGTCATGTTCATATGAGGAGAGAGGCAATTGACATTTACACAAAGTGTTAAGGGCAAGCCTTGATTTTTACGGAAATGTGTGAAAATTACCACCATTTGTTCTAGTCAAAATGTATGAGATGAGAAAAATGGTATTAAATTTAGTTTGAAATGTTATTTGGATTGGGATCTTTTGGTTTTAGATAATTTAAGAGGTACTATTTAAGTTACCTAAATTTACATTATATGGAGTTTGATTTTAAACCAAGAAAAGAAGAAGGAAAAGGTATTTCATTTAGTTTTCATCTATTAAACTATACTAAAAAGAAAATATGTTTCTTACATCAAATGTATCCAACTACTGGCGGATAGTTTGTGGGGGGATCTCAGAACAAATTATTTGTTGCATACTTCTTGAATACCAAAGTTCCTTCTATTTTTCGTCCGATTGGGGGTATTTAAAGATTACATATTTTTACTCTATAAGTTACAAGTACAGTTGTAAAATAATTAAATCTAAGCGGATTTTTATTAAATTCTAAGCAACTTTAGCAAGCTAACTTTCAATTACCCAAAAGCACATTTAAATCAACATATTTCCATTTTCAAAGCATCTAATTAACCCAAAAAAGTTAATACCTGCGACAAAGTCAATCCTCGCCGAAAAAAAGAGGGAAAAACGAACAAAAAGTGGTGAAATATCACATCATCACCTGACGTTTTGGGTAAATTACATTTTTATGTGCACATAAATAAGGTATAAAAGGCATTTGTCATCCCGCTCCCTCTCGCAGCCGCCCTGCTTTAACCCATTAGGGAACCCACTGGCTGCGTTAACCCATTGGATCCCATGCTCCGCCTTTTGCCAGCCCCTCTGTGTATTGGTGTGCGTGAGCTTATATAGGCACTATCTCTCTCTCTCTGGCTCACTCTGTGTGTGTGCCATCTCGCTCTCGCCCACGAACGCAACTTCTTCGGCTTTTACTTCGGGATATCAGTGTGTGGTGCTTATATACACACGAAGCTTTCTCACTCTCGCCCGTATGTGCGACTGTATTAGTGGGGGTGGGGTGGGGGCGCCATTTAAATTACGTTCGCTGTGTGTTGCTTCTCATTTGTTGGTTGAGAATCCCAAAAGGCACGCACACACACATACAGACAGAGGCGAAATAAAAACCAGTTCGCCTAGTAGTCGCCCTCTCCTTCCTTCTCCTTCCTCACTCTCTCGCTCGCTCGTGGGCTCTTTGGCTCTCGGCCTTTGGTTCTGCGGCTCTGATTTTAGTAACATTTTGGTGCTCGCGGCAATTGGACGTCCTTCGTCTCGCGCCTCGCGCTTTAAAAAGAAAGCCCATACAACCCACACACAACCCATACAAACAACAGCTAATATAATGATCCTTTGGTGCAGCAAGGGCCCAAACTAAAAGTGTTTAAAATCTGTCAAAAAAGTGCAGCCTTAGTGCCTATTAAATCGAAATTTCTTCAATTTAATTTAAATATTTTATTAAAAAATAAGAAAGACAGTACTATGCCATGATATGATGGCCCTAAAGATGTTATATCGCGGTCCCAGTTCGCGTTTGGAGAATTTAATTGAAAAGATCCAGGCCACCAAGGAGATAACCAATAACGGTAATTTGAAAGGATTGTAGAGATTGTAGATTTGTGAAGAAAGGAACAATGATCACTGATAAGTTAATAAGTGAACTTTGAAAACCTCATAATTTGGAAGGTCCCTTCAATCATCACTCTAAAATGATTATTCTTCAAAAATATATTTGGGGAACTTTTGAAACCCCCAAGAGTAAATGGTAACCCTATTTAAAAGCTTTCAACTGGAAGTGCATTTGCCGACGGTACATCATCATTCGTAGTGCCGTTAAAAAATTTACCAAATACCAAGAATTCCAATTTTTGAAAGAAGGAACATAATGTTGGTTTAATCTCAAAGAGGTCTTACCAAAGATTTCCCTTTTTGACGTATTATATCCTTACATTAATTTTTCTTATCTTTATTTAAAAGAGACTGAACCTTTAACCCATAAATCTAAATGTAACCAACTTGAATCATAAATCTTAGAAAATCACCATCCATCTTCTCCAATCAGTTCAACCTCTTTGACACACACATCTCTCGTACAACCAACATTTCAATCAATTCCGAATGGGTTCAAATCTCTTGCAACTTTCTTTAACCCCAAAGATCAAGACGAATGTGTGAATCAAGTGGCTGATGCATCAGCTTGATGTTTCCCAATTAGAGTAGAACTTAGACCAGAGATCACAGTTCAACCGATCGGGGGGTAAAACAAAGCATGACAGACCCAGAGCATTATCCATTATCCAAAGAGATACACAGACGCGAAGATCGCGCGCAATTGGGCTTAATTAAAAGTTGTCGAAAACGGAAAGTGAGCATCGGCACTTGGCGCGTGGTGATAGAGGCCTGAATTTCGAGGGGGAATCAAGTGACCCTCATGGATTCTGGGGCCTGTAATTAAAACGGCAGCAAGAACAAAGCGCAATTAGTTTGCATGAGACTCGCTTACAATTTTTTCCCCAGCCCAGTCCAATGGAATGGGGTGTCGTCTGGTCTGGTCAACACCAAATGTTGCCCGGCTAATTGAATTAATTCCGTGTCCAGCATTTGATAGCCGACGTTGATTTCCTGTCCCGGACCCCAAAGTGCCGCTAATCAGGATGCAGCCGCCCACTCGATAAAAAAAACAGCTTCCCATGATAGAAATAAAAACGTTTTTGTTCTAAGAAATAGTTAACATCGCATTTATGATCTGGAGAACTGTCGGTAGTTAGGAAATGCGTGTCTAATTCCCTGATTACTAATTATGTTTTCATTTTTCATTTACTTTCAGATATGTACAGTACCCACACATCGTCCAGTTATTCGCCTAGTATTTCTGACGGCACCATGACTCCTAATTCACATCATTTGCCTGGAGCTCTAACAACCGCTGGTCAGGAGGATCATCCCATTGAGGGCAAGATGAATGGTGGATCTGAAGGCGGGGAGTTGCCCAAGCCCAAACGATTGCCCCATTTCCATCACCATCATCACTACCATCATCAACAGGCACTGAAGATAGCCAACAAGCTGCGGAAAATCAATAAGGAAGCCAAAATGGGAGCCAACGGCAGTGCAGGATCCACTGGAGCAGTCTCCAAGTTTGATAAGTTGACAGGAGAGGGGATTAAAAGTCGCGGCGACGGCTCCTATCAGTGCCAGTTCTGCGAAAAGACATTTCCGCGGCTCGGCTACTTAAAGCATCACGTACAGGTGAGTCTCTCTCTCCGCATAAAAGGGTTCAAAGTTCGAAGGGGGCAGGGAACTCCATCTAAAGGGTGGGTGGCACACTCACTAGTGGGTGGCCGGGAAAAGTTCTTAATTACCATCCTGACAGCTTCGTAAGGCGCTTATTCTATTTTCGAGGCTGGGTGTCTCTCCTTGATTGACATTTGCCCTCTTAGGTGACAGACTTCTAAATTATTGGGACACCTTTAGACACTCAGGGCGTCGAGGCTTCAAGGCTGAGCTTTGATTGACAATCTTAGGTGGTTTCATTGATTTTCTTGTGGGTTTTCTTTTTGTTAATTGAAAATGAAAGTGGTAAAGGTGTAAGATCTAAGGGTTACTTACAATATAGAAACTGATTGTTTGTATAATCTGAAGCAGACTAATAGTCTAGTCACACTATGTGGGGTAACCTATCGAGTGTGCCGGTAGCCCGATTACTCCAAAAAAGTGTTTCCACTGGGTTAACTCCAAATATCGGTCTATGACAGATAGGTTTTGTGGTTTATTTATTAAATAAATACAAAATATACCGAAAAATAAAAAAAAAAATGTAGAAATACTAAATACTCATTAACTTTACCCTAGTGTAAATAGGCTATAAAATATCTCTAATATCAAGTATAACATTCTTTATAATGCAAATTAGGATCAAGTGTATCACTCAGAGCTTTCGGACTTGTATCATTTGTCTAACACTCTTCGGCTAAGATCGTAACATCAAAGACCGCAGGCCCAAAGCCTTTGTGGAGACCGCTTTTCACCCACATACCCCTTGCCATAATTCTAATTCGGCTTAAATGCTTTTTGAACTGCCAACACCGCCCATGACATCAGCAACTTGTTAACCCAATTGCAACTGCTGTTTAGGACTACCGACCAGCGAGATCTTAATCGTCGACCAGGGTCTAACATGTAGCGCTCGGGCTTTGATCCTAGCGCCTGGATGATCCAGCCGGTACGGTTCGGAATTCGGTCTTATAAAGCTCATGGGATGTTGATGGCGATGGCGATTGGAGCGACAGTTTAAAAAACCATAACCAACACGAGAAGTTTTGCGCTCTCTGGATGCGACCAACCCGGCTAACTCATCATATATTGTGCAATTTTAAGGCACTCCAAACTGGGGGGCTGCATACAAATGGGCTAATTTTTTGTTTTGCCGCTCTCAAAGTTCAAAGCCGCCTTGCCGCTGACAGAAGAAGAACCCAAAAAGCAAACCGGTTGCGGGTGTAGTTTAAGACCCAACCTCGGCACCTGCCCCTTGCTACCCGTAAAATCAAGCGGCGTTGCGCATTTAGATGAATTTTGTCCACAAGCCACGAGTCGCAAGTGAAACACCTACTCGTCTGGGCCTGAGTTTTCAGTTTGAGTCCGAGTCGAGTCAGTCGGTATGCAGATTCAGATTCAGATTGACGCATCTATAAATTCAAGCCAGGAGTCGTCGTCGTCATCGTTGTCATCGCAACTTTTAGCTGGGGTAGACAACTGGGACACTTCTAAGAATTTCAAATAGCCTCTGCCTAATTGCTGAGATTATCTTTATGCTAATGGGATTTTCCGAAATTTTCCTTACAGAGCCACGCTGAACACCTGCCTTTCAAATGCGAATACTGCGCCAAGCTGTTCAAGCACAAGCGATCCCGAGATCGTCATAAGAAATTGCATACCAACGAGCGGAACTACAAGTGTCCGCATTGCGAGGCAGCCTTTTCTAGGAGGTTAGTAAATAACTCTAGGAAAATCTATATAGATCTTTAACTAAATTAAGAAATTTCTTATTTTATAGCGACCACTTGAAGATCCACATGAAGACGCATGACATCCAGAAACCCTTCCAGTGCAGCATGTGCAACCGGGGCTACAATACAGCCGCTGCTTTGACCTCTCACATGCAGAAGCACAAGAAGAATGCCGCCATCCTGGCAGCTGGTGGTAACCCGAATGCCCTGAATTACAGTCCACGATCCACGGGATCTGCCTCGGCCTCGGTTTCGAGTAATGGTAGTCTTCAGAAGAGACGTTATGCCCTAGCTTTGGCCTCTGATAGTAGTCCCAGTCGATTGGATTTCCCCAAGAGGTCGAGAAGTAGCCATGTGGGTGGAGCAAACACAAATACCACCGCAGCTACACCCACTCCTTTGTTAAGATGCAGCTACTGTCCCAAGGTCGCGGAGTTCAGTAGCCTGGAGCAACTGAATGCCCATCTCCAGAGTGTCCACGAGCAGACGGTGAAGACCCCGGATTCCGAGGGCTTCCAGCTGAGCTGCGAGTACTGCACCATGAAGTTTGGCAACATCGCCGGTCTCTTCCAGCACATGCGAGCCACCCACATGGATCGATTGAGCAGCCCGAACTCCTATTACGAGCACTTCAATCGCCTGGCCACCGCGGGCACTTTTAGTCCACGATTGGCCATGGATATGCCCAAGATTAAACCGGATTTGGGCAGTCCGGAGAGGGATTCACGACCCGCGGAGGAGGATCTGCCCACGGATTTGAGCAGCAACAAGCGGCGACCAGTGACACCTAATCCTCAGACTCAGAATCAATTACCACCTCCTTCGGCTCCACCGGGGGTCTTCTTCTGCAATCAGTGCAACGCGGGATTACCCGACTTTGAGAGCTTCAGGAATCACCTGAAGAGTCACATTGCCGAGGGCATGCAACTGATTTGTCCGCATTGCGGTTTAAGTTTACCAGAGCAATCGGAGTTCGAGCGACATGTGGTGGGTCACTTCCTGATCACCGGCTCCGAGTTCAACTGCAGTTCGTCGTGCGGCAAGAGCTTTGCCAAGTCGGAGGATCTGCAGCAACATTTGCTGGCGGAGCACGTGCTCACCCTGCTCAAGTGCTCCTTGTGCTCGGAGGTTTGTGAGAGTCGCATGGCCATGCAGTTGCATTTGGCTTGTTCTCATAGTCAGGAGACGAAGCTCCTCCGCTGCAGCGCCTGTTTGGAGCTCTTTCGATCCGATGCCGAGTTCCATGTGCATGTCAAGACACGTCACCAGTTAAGCGGACACCCCACGTTGGGCGCCAATTCTAATGCGCCCGCTAACCCTTTGCAGTGCATGTTCTGTCGCGCCGTCTGCTCTTCGGAGCTGGAGATGCACTTCCATTTGGCCGCCCATGCTCGCCAGTTTAGATGTCCCTCCTGCCCGGAGACCTTCCATGTGGAGTTCCTCCTCGATCGTCACATGCAGAGTCAGCATGGTGGGGTCAAGGACAAGGAGGCCAGCTCACCCAACATGGGCAGTCTCTATGTGAATGCTTTGCTGCCTCCTTTGGCGGCAGCGGCGGCGGCAGCAGCGGCCACGAATAACAACAGCAGCATCATCGACTACAATGTGGCATTCAAGGGTTTGTTTGGGGGAGGAGGAGCAGGCTCAGGAGGAGGAGGATCAGGACCAGCACCTCCACCTTCGAGCAACAAATTCTACAGTCCCCTTCAGGTAGACACAAATGCCCTAAAAACCCAAACCTCCCCACATCCGGCTTTAATGTACGGCCTGAGTCAGCGATATCTGATGGAGATGTATGCCGCCAAGTCCACTTCACCAGCGGGCGATGTAACTAGTAACCCCCAGTCAACTCAGGCTTCCCAGGCATCCGCAGCAGCACCACCACCCCCGCCACAAAATCCTCCGACTGCCACCTTCAGTTGCGGAATGTGCGAGCGACAGGATTTGCGTAGCGAGGCGGAACTTCACTCGCATCGCAAATTGGCCCATAACCTGAAGACAGGAGTGAGTCTGCGATGTGCCTACTGCGCTGGGAACTTTAAATCCCGCGCCGAACTTGAGCAACACATGAAGAGCTGTCACAATTCGACAGGCAAGCACAAGTGCTTAATATGCGATGAGGTATTCCCCTCGCCAGCCATCCTAGCGGAGCACAAACTGCAGCACTCGAAGGTGGGGCAGTCGGGCAAGTGCTCCCATTGCGGACAGCCGCTCGAGGATGTGGCCGCCTTCAGGGCTCATCTATCGGAACATGGCAGTGATGGTGGTTCCCTGCCACTGGCTTGCATTTGCTGTCGCCAGACGTTGCATTCGGAATTTGAGCTGAGTTTGCATGCCAAATTCCACACCAAATCCTCGTCGAGCGGGGGAAGTTTGCAGGAACCTGTCTGTGCTTTGTGCCTGGAACCTCTACCCGATGCCACCGAAGGTCCAGCCAAACTATGCGACAAATGCTGTCGCAAACACAATTTGAATGGCAAGAGGGGAAAGCATACAGAACCTCCAGCAGTTCTACCACCCCAAAGTTCATCCTTTGTGGAAAACCGCTGTAACCTTTGCAAGATGATCCTGCCACATGCCCAGAAACTTCAAGAACATCTCGTAGAACACACCTTTGCGGGCACCGAACAGCGTGGCTTCAATTGCTACATTTGCTCAGCGGTTTTCACTGCACCTGGAGGATTACTCAATCATATGAGTGAACATGGAGCTCATTCGAGACCCTACGATTGCAGTCTTTGCCCCGAGAAGTTCTACTTCCGTGCCGAATTGGAACATCACCAGAGGGGTCACGAACTCAGGCCACGTCCTTCGCAACCCAAAGTGGAGGTAGCCTCCAACCAGAGGAACAGTTCACCCAGCCAGAGTCCCACGGTGCGGAGTCCCACGATTGTCAAGCAGGAACTCTATGAAACGGATACTGTGGAGTCCAATGGAGCCGAAGATGAGCCGGAGAATCCTCCTGATGAAGAGGAGTACATCGAAGTGGAACAAATGCCGCATGAGACACGTCCAAGTGAGATGGGGTCGCAATTGGAAAGGTCCACCAGTAGCGCCTAAAAAGAAATATTAGAAAAATGATAAAAACCAGTAGTTCAGAATAAGATTACTTAGAGGGCTGCCTAGTATTTAAAAAGACTGTTTCCAAACTTGCTGTTTTCTGATATTTATTTTTATAACAATTTTGGGACGCTCTCCAAAAATTACTACATCTTGCCAATAAAAAACTTGAAGCAAATGGAACAGTTTAGTATTAACCGTATACGTATAATTAAATAACTTTTCGAAAATCCATAAATTAAGTAAATGTCAAAACATAATCAATATTACACATACGCCTAGTGTACTCGTAGAAAGTCTTTACAAAAAAAAAAGAAAGAAAGCATTTGTGTGTGATAGTTTTTCAAAGATTCAACTACCACTATATTATGATTTATCTATCATAGATTCGTATGTTATTGGGCCTTGCCTTCGATTCAGTATTTATATTGTATTACACGATCCAACAATAACTAACCATGTAACTATAAACGATTATACAATTAACTATATATGAATGTATGTCTTATATAAGCACCAAAACATTTTTAATGTGTAGCATATAAAAAGCGAGAAAAAAGAAAGACAACAGAAAAATATTTAGTAAATAAAACAAACACAAGTTGAAACCAAAACTCGAGATATTTTATGTCTTTACTTAGAAGTTTCGGTCGATGTGAGGGGGGATTTAGAGAGGGGGAAAATCTGATAAGAAGTGTGTCTTTTATTCTCCGTTTTTATGGAAGCTGACAAACATGCGCGACGAAAGGCGAGGTCTCCTCCGCCTCGAGGGCTCCTCCAAGACCAAAATTTTATGGCGAATATTTCGTTTCTGGTTTATTTCGGCAAGCGCGACACGTAGAGGCCATAAAAAAGGTGCGCAACAGGGTAACCCGTGAAGCCCCTTGAGTTTCGCCAGACGAAAAGCGACAAATTGGCATCTCGGTTGGGTGATCTCTATCTGCAAGACCGGTGGCAATTACCAAGCATATGACGCTTCTGTTTCCCGGAACGCTCCAAACTGGTTGGGGATCGTAGGTCTAATCTCGCAGCACCTCCTGCTTCTGGGAAGCAATTGCAAATAAATCGCATTTAATAAATTGCAGCGGACAAAAAGGCACCGACCGATTCCTATGCCAAGTCGATATATCTCTGCACCTGTCGGCAATCATCACAAATCAATAAAAATGTTTATCATCAGGCTAAAACAATTGCCCCCAAGCTAAAGAGCTAAAAAGCACCGGCAGTTGTTAATTAGCGCCATGCCGCAAATGCCAAAACGTCCGAAGGAAAACAGCAACTACACAACGAAAAAAGAAAAAAAAACTTGGCCATCGGAATTGCCGGCAACAATCGAAAGCCACGAGAGGAGACTTCATTGATCGTTTTCGGCCGGCCGCACATGCACTCCACTACGATCCATTCGCATCGACCAGACCGCCAGGCGCGTCATCCGCTGTATAAGAAAACCTATCCCCCAAAGTCCCCGCGCATCGCGTATTTTCCGCGAACTCTTTTTTTTACGTGCCTCGCCGCTTAGCGTCACCAATATGTCCCAAGTGATGACGATGATGATGATGATGACAATGACGATGGCTCTGCAAATCAAAACCTCCAACGTATCGAGCTAACAACTCTGATCGCATCGATTCGCATTGCTCTGTTTTTGGTATTTCTGGCATTTGACGGGTTTTTACACGCTCTCTTTACAGGGGAGTGAACAGTGGTCCCGGGATTATAGGTTATAAAGGGAAAAAGGGTGAAGGGATTAAAGCAGGACTAAAAGTTAAGCTTGAAATTTGCTATTTCTCGATATTTATTTTGAGCTTTGCCTTCCAAACGTCGATATTATCGAATCGATATTGTCCAAATATCGAAAACATCGATACTTTTTAAGCTGTAACTAAAAGTCCTGTACTGATGGTAGTAAATGGCTCTACATTGAAACATCAACAATAAGACTTATTTTTTGACTGACGTCTTCAGTTTGTCCGTGAAAAATTGATAATGATTTTTGGAGTGTGTGATATATTTTGATCTACATGTTACAATTCTAGAATAATGTACATTTATTACAGTTTCCCAGATATCTTATATATAGTCCTTTAATAAAAACGTGTAGACAAACAGTCGAAATTCGAAAATTATGAATACATTATAACTGGAAACCACCTTGAATTTAACTAAAAAATTAAATCACAAAAAAATACATAAAATATCTAGCTACAACGATATTAATAAAGACGATATGACTAAAGATAAAATTCCTTAACTACTTAAATGTTTTAAAAATATATGACTCCCGTATTTTAATTACACATCAAACCAATGCATTTAAGCCCACTGTGGGACGATTGAAAGTCTGCTGAGCGACTGACAGTTTAGCAAACTGACTGAGTGACTGGCCAGTCGCCCGACTGGGATGCCCAACAACCAGCATATCAACACTCCTATGCCTTTAACATGGATATAAATATATATATGGAACCCCATGGCAACTCCAAGTCTGGCTGGCATGCGAGAAAAGCATTTTTGGGACCGCACCGCGTTACATTGACAAATGAAGAAGCTCCCATCAGTCAAAGATGTGGGGAATAAAACTTTTCGCACTGATGAAGATGACCGTAAAACACCCAAAACCAAGTGGCAAATGGAGACAAATGATCAGTCGAGGAAAAAGCGCTGCGAAATGAACTCGTTTCAGGTCCTTGACAATGAGGGGTAAGTGAGATGGCGGTAAAATATATTTTCGCATGCCCTATTAAACAAAAACAAAAGTGAAAAATTGTTTTCTTTCCTCTTTTTTTTTTGCACAACCCCTCGGCAAATGCTTCCTCTTCCTCTTCCGGCCTGCAAAATGGGGGGTGTTCGAGGTTCAAGGAGTTTAAGGACACGGAATGTGTGCCAAACATGCAACGTACACTTACATTATATTCATTACCGGCTTATTAGCGTGATTTACCGATTGGGGGAGTGATATAGAGAGTAAGTATCCTGGGGAAGAGATAATGACAATGCGGATAAGGATGTGCTTGAATGATGTGATGTGGGCGTTACAAAGCCTGGGAAAATGACTTTGAAAGCGCCATTTCCCCTTGTTCCTTTTGTCAATAATACCGTGCGAATTTCTTGATGGATGTGCCACAGGAAATTCTTCACTTTACAGCTTCCGAAATTGGAATTTCTCCCCCTCGATAACATGTCATATGCAAATTTTTGATTTGGGTTCAGCTTATTAACCATTAAGTTCATCATATCTAATGGAGGGTTTTTCCATCTTCATTTGAAGCATGTCAATTGGGCTGTCAACTTCCTGCCTGAAATTGTGAGCTGGGGCTTGCGGCTAATTAGCTGACCAGATCACAGAGATACAGATCTCGTAAGAGGAGTATCCTCTTCTTCGCCAGCGAGGCGCTAATTCAATTAATAATCCCTCGCTTTGGAAACACGCGCGATCCGTATCAGACGGGCAATTTACACAAATTAAAACTAAGCAGTTACCCTCTTAATTATGCAATTACTAGATAATTTTTCTTGTTTTCCACTGCGTACTTGTTGTATTTTGTTTGGCCTAAGCATTTCCCTCTTCGGCGGCACGAGCTGGGGAACACAGAAACGAACCGGAAACCGAAAACAGTTGCAGATACAGATACATAATCGCTCGGATACACATATGCGAGCAGCTCCCATTGGTCGAATATGTTTTTTGTGACTGTGAGTGTGTGTCTATAGGTGTTTATGTACCACATTTCGGATACATACATGAATAGGGAGTCGTTTGGGGCGTGGCATGGGTGGGCAGGGAATGTATCTGTGAGATACTTTGCTTGATTTTCGGGCTAACTGATTTTCAGGGAATATTTTTGGTCATTAAATAAGAGGTTCTTTAATATTACATTTAAATTTCGGAAAAAAATAATAAATAATTTAATTTAAAATAATGAAAAAGATTTTCTAACTAAAATTCCATTTAAATAACAAAAGTATTGTTACAAACCATAAATTACAAATACAAAATTTTAAAATTATTTTTTAAGGAACATCTATCTTGATTTTTTGGCTACCTATACATTAAAAAGATTTCTTAAAAATTCCCTCCTAATTTCCTTTACAATAAAACCATTAAACCTCCTTATTATTCCATTTCCTTCCACATAAAATTCCTTTACATAATAAATACCAAAAGTGATTCCCCATTTTTAGAGGCTGAACGTGCCGAAATCGGTGTTATGTAAATGGATATCGTACCCGATCATCGCTATGATTGATTGATTGATTGATTGCCATTCAGGGCAGGCAGCACCAAATATAAACAGCGATTGTGAGGAACAAAGGATGCTTGTGGTCTCGCTTTTGCGGGCGGTTTGTTTTCTATGCGCAATTTATAAAGTTGCTGACACAATAATGGAATAATGGGAGCCAGGACGCGCCAGGATCACCTCGCCGCATGGCACCTCCGCCTTAAATTCTCGCGAATTAATTTAAAAAGGAGCCAGGGCATTGCTGCTGCATCCCATTTGAAAAGTATTGTGTTACCAGGATTGGGATAGAGATTCGGTTTGGGATCGGGACCAATGGCAGCAGGATCCGCTGAGCGTCCCAAGTTTGCTCGCCTTGATAAGACATAAAAGGTCCTCCAAGACAAAGGACCTCCTCGGGCCCGGCAATTGCCCGGGCATTTCCTCGAGCGTGTTTATGCTTTGCGCCTTCTTATCCCTCGATTTTTCTTATCACGGCAAAAAGATCAAATTTCGAGAGGGAGCCTTTCGAGGATGACAAGAGGGAGCGAAAAGAAGCCGCTGGGAAAGGATGTGCCAAAGGATGGATCTTGTTTTAGCAGAGTCCTTTCAAAAGCTTTAGTAGGCGGGCAGAAGTCATCAAGAGATTACTGGGTTTTTATAAGGAATTTTACAATTATTTAACTAAACTCAAAAAATCATTTTAAAATATTTATGTATTAATTTTCCACTTATTTTTCCCAATAATTAAAGTTAACTTTTTTCCAGTCTAAAAATTCTCCCACATATTCACACAAAAACCCATAAAGGTGACATAATATTTGGTGTAATCCCCTCATACAAAATTGCCATAAACGTAACAAAGTCAACGTTCTCTATATAGATTGTATTACACAATCAGATGCTGTTCTTTTTTGTGACCCCTGAAGTAGCGCCTGAAAATAAAAACGTTTACCCCGAAAACCTTAATTAAATTTTTGTTGCCTGAACAGGAATTTTCCTCGTTTCGGTTTCTGTGTTAACTTGTTCTAAGTACGCTGCTTTTATTACCCACACAGTAGTGACACAGGGCTCCAAGATGATGATAATAATGATGATGGTGGCGGACAGAAACGGACAAGTTTCACAATTTGCTCGCGGGTTTATCATGTCCAGAGTGCGTTTTGACCTCTTGGCGAGTACGTGCCTGGCCTCAGAGTGTGACAAACTTGTTTTTTTTTTGCTGGGTAGCTGAGCAGTGGCCTGTAGTTGTTGCTTTTATGACTTAATGCCGCGTACGCCGCGCAATTTCAATTACATGGCGAACCCAAGAGGCCGCAAAACGGTTTAAATGTTTACATGGGGCCAAGATACTTATATAGAGCAGCTTTAGCTCCCCAGCACTACAACACTTTCATTGCGAGATTACTACGCTGTTGTAAGACCTTCGACCGCCTTCAGCCAGGTGCCAAAATTGACCGGGCGAACGCCTGAGTTGCGCATAATTTATGCTCAAGAAAGCCGAAAAATTACAATGGAGTGAGTGGGTTAGAGTTGAAGCAGCTAGCTTGCGGCACGTGGCCAACTTTATGATTTCTCGCCTTGGAGTTGGCGGAAAAGGGATAGGGTTCTTTTTGGGCCCCGTCTTTGCAAGTTACATGCATTTTTGATGACCCTTTCGGAGGCGGCCAAAAGCCAGAATTTAATCAAGCGCTGCAGGTGCAAATGGTCGAAATGAAAAGCGTAACAAATTGGTCAATAGTTGTGCAAGTGGTAGACTCAGTTCAACTGGGGAGACATTGACAGCAGGATGAAAGACTTTAAAGATTTGTGTGTTAATACCTAAGTTCTTGCTATCCCCACACAATTCAACCAATCTTATCTTTAACGCAAATATAGAGATACATAAAGGTGGGAATTAAGGTGTTTCAGCCGAGCGCAACATCCCTCTAACGCTCTAACCATATTAAAAGGTGTCTGTCGCCCACATCTTTCAAGACTTCGGAGAAGTATAAATGCAATTTTGTTGTGTATATTTATACCTATTGAAATGTAGAAGAAATTTTTCAAATCGGACCATTCGTTAAAAGTTATGTCTAATCAAAATTGTATATCTCTATCTCCCTCGCACTCTTTTTAGCACTCTTTTTTAACGGGTATTTGATAGTCGGGACACCCGACTAAAGCGTTCTCTCTTGTTTTATTCTTAAAATAAGCCCATAAAATACTATCCGAAATCAAGTATAAATCGCTCTCAATTTTGTTGAGTAAAAATGTGTTTATTTATACCTGTTGAAATGTAGAATAAATTTTTTAAAACGGATTTGTTTTTATGCCGGTGGTTTCCGTGATCCATTTTAAGAAGCTGGTAACACGAGTGAAGCCAGCGGGGTAACCGGACTTGCAACCATTTGTTGAGACGAAGGATGTAACACCGATCAGAGTATTGGAGGACTCCAGAGCCAGAGGACCACCGGAGTCACCAGAGCAGGTGGACTCACCGTTACTGGTGTTGGCGCAAAAATATCCAGGGGGCACGACCGGGAATCCGTAGGCGGCGGCACACTGTTCGTTGCTCATAACAACCGTTTTCATGAATTGCAGTCTCACAGCCTCATCTGCCTCAAGTTTTTGGCCCCATCCGGAGGCGATAGCGATATCACCTTCATAGGTCGGGTAGGTGGGGGCGATGGATGGGAGGTTAATGGCCTTGATCCTGCTGCTGTAGGTAACGGCGGGGATCTTGATCAGGGAGATGTCGCTACCGAAGTTTCCGGCGTTATAGTCGGGATGGTTAATGATGCTAAACGAAGTGACGAAGCGGATTGCTTCGGGGGAGGTACGCTCGGTGGCACCCAGGTAGACGATCGCGAATAGAACTCTGTGATGGTGGAGAAAATAAAAGTGGCTGGCAAACACATATCATCCTAATATACGAAAAGGACACTCACCCCTGTGTACAATGGGCAGCACTTATCACCCATTTGTTACTAATGAGAGAGCCACCGCACCAAGTACTAAAATCTAGGAGAAGTCCCACTTGGTATGGGAACTGGCCGACGGAGGCGTCACTTCCATTGATGATCCGGCCCTCGCCCTCGATGCTGCCAACCACGGGCATCTCGCGGCTGCGTTGGGGGAGCTTTGGCTCTGGAAAAGCGGAGGCGGCCACGACCAGGGCCAGGATGATGAGGAACTTCATCTCGGGAATGGTTGCTTCTCAGTTGAAGGAACTTAACTGGTCGTTCAAGGCCCGCCAGGCGCCTTTTATAATGGTAAATTTGCGTTTGCGCCTGTGATTAGGTTGCATTTCACGAAGAACTGTCGCGATTAGATAAAAATTTATATGCCGTATATTGTGCAAAAGATATGGATCAGTTTTAGGACCTTCAACGTTCAATGCTCTTCTCGACTCTCTGTATATGTAACACATGGGCTAAAAAGTCCCGGGCCTAACAAAGAAAACACGGTTTTTTTGGTTCAAAATTATCTTTATTCATCAACGTAATCTTTATTAACTACCTTATCTGCCGTATATTGTGCACAAGATATGGATCAGTTTTAGGACCTTTAACGTTCAATGCTCTTGCCGACTCCATGTACAGTTGCGAAAAAAATAATAGCACCACTTCGTCACAGGTTCTTAATATTAAAGAAATATGTAGAAAACGGGGATTTTTATATAAGAAGTGTTTTTTATTATCTTGATTAGTATTCCACCTATTTGAAAAAATTGATACGGATATCGAAAATATTGTCTACATATAATTTTTTTAGATTTTAAGAAAAAATGTCAAAAAAAGGCCGAAAAAAATAATAGCACCACTTCCGTTTTCTTTAAATAAAACGTTACGATGCGCTAATATTCTTGTGTATAAAGGATATATTTTATGAGATTTGACTAAAACTAACTTCTCCTGATATCCAGACATCAAATTGATTACCATTTGGCAATACAAGGACATGTGAAAAATTTTCCAAGTCGGAAAAGAAAAATATTCAAAAAAGAAACATATTGGATGGAAAAAGGTCATGAAAACCGGTTGGACTGGTTAGGTTTTGGATCATCTTCATTAAGAATGGCATAAACTTTAAAGGATAACACAGAAAAACCGAGTCCTGGCCCACTTTTCCTTCAAAAATGTTATATCACAAAGCACAAAGAATCTTATCAGGGCCAAAACTAAACTAAAACACGTGCTTAAAAAAATAGCGAATATTTTAATAGTTGAATAATGTTTCAATAAACAAATTTATAAAACATGCACTTAAAAAAAAAAATCCTATCCGAAATGCGAAACACATTTACAAGGGCATAGGGCTCGTCAAAAAAACTTACAAATGAATGCCCGCAAACTTATGAGAATGTGTGAAGGCAAAGTTAAATTGGGTAAGAAGAAATCCTTTTTATAAGTCATGTGTCTTCTAAGCACCTAAATTGACCAAAAACATGGTACCAAAACATCTATTTATTGAGCATGGACCTAGTATTAACATAGGCTTGTTTTTCCTTTTTGAAGTAAGATCAATACGGATGAATACATCGTTAATGAATCATCCTATGATGTAAATAGTAATACGGTAGTAATTCGTAGCTTAAACTGAATACAAAATACTTCTTAAATGAATCTTTGACCAATAAAATCCGGCCAGGATCACGGTCAGGATAGCAAAGAAAGAGTTCGAAAGTACTCAGTCAGCAATATACAGTGACTTGTGTACTCGCTTGACCATAACACAACCAAAAATCTTCGAGTTTTTTTTTTAAAGACAGTTTATACAGTTAATCCAAAACGTCTTAAATCATTTCCGAACAAAATTTGAAAATATATCATGACTTTTGGGCCCCAATTCCTTTATAGGTAGGGTCCTGACTTGTTTAATCGATAGTAGTCATTATATCCAAAAATCGCAAAAGATATTTACACTTTAAACTTAGATTTACTTGTTAGCTACCGCCAACTAAAGATTAAGTTACCCATTTGTCATTTTTCTACCTTTTATTCTTTTTTTAGAGAAGTGGTGCTATTATTTTTTTCGTACGTTTTTCCAGTTTTGCATAGATTTTCTTAAATAAGTCCAGAAACCTTTTATAAAGCTAACATTTTTTTTCATATTCAAATTATGTTTAGTCTTACTATTTAAAACCCGTTTTGAAAAGTTAAAAAAGTTAAAAAATGTGAGCAGGGTGACTAGTTAAAATTTTTTTGGGTTAGTGGTGCTATTATTTTTTTCACAGCTGTATATGTACAATATACTGATAATGTTCAAATATATTTTTCGCGTACTTTTCTTAGACGAATGATAATATATGTACATGCACCCAGAAAAATGATGGACAAAATTTTAGGTCATGCAAAATGTCAATCCTCTAGCATTTATAGTTTCCGAGATCTCAGCGTTCATACGGACAGACAGACGGACAGACAGACGGACAGACGGAGAGACGGACAGACGGACATGGCTATATCGACTCGGCTAGTGATCCTGATCAAGAATATATATACTTTATGGGGTCGGAAACGCTTCCTTCTAGCTGTTACATATATTTGCACGAATACAATATACCCTTTTACTCTACGAGTAACGGGAATAAAAACTCTAATATTACCCTATAACATTGAATGCTGCAGTTTTATTGTTGTTTTGTATTGTTATTAGATGTGCCGTCAGTTTAATTTAATTTAGAAAAAAATTGCACTTTGACCAATTTCTTTTTCAGTAAGTATGGCTATTATCTTATTACTTCTTTCTTTTCCGTATGCAAAATAACTTTTCCGTAAATTAAATATTTTTTTCTCTGTAAAAAGGATGGTTTACGCCAAACGCTGTGGAATTTTTGCTACGTTGGAATTTCGAATCGTACTTTTACAGAAATATGCCCAGTAGATGTAAGCGACTTTCTGCTTTTACACTTTTAAAAAATAATGCTTTTTGGAAAAGTTGTATTCAAAAAACGAATCGCTCGTCACCTTACCCTACACTCCTTACTATATTATTTTCAGTGTCAGATTTGGGAAAAATCTCATCAAGCTGTAAAGCTTTAACGTTAATTTCTTGGCTATTGATATTCAAAGAATGAAAATAGTATATTTTAAAAAGCTCTTTACTTTTAATTACTTATAGTATTTGAATAAACGTTTGAAATCGATTTCAGCAGCCGTTATTTATCCAACCTATCGATTTTTACTCAAATATGCGCTTGAGTACGGTGCCTGCCATTGTGGGGAGGGTGTACTCGCTAAGTTAGCCGATGCACACGCCGCTAACTTTAATCGATGTCTATCGAGCGCAACAGTCGCTCTCCCGTTAACAAAAATGTTAAGATACAGCAGAGGCGTAACAGTTCTGCCAATGTAAGAAAACGTTGCATCTTAACATTTCTGTTAATAACAGTTGATTTTAACATTTTGGACGGGTTTTCCCAGTGTTACCAGGCAGATTTCCGCCGTACATTTTTTAGGTAATTTCCAAGAAAAGCCGGTGGTTACACCAGCAGCTCTTTGAAAATTCGAAGAGTCGAAAAAAAAATTGAACGGTTGTGGGTGCATGTTCGATTGTTTTCGGTCGCAAGAACAAACTCGTAAATCTCAAGACCCGCAAATAGTGACTCGAGGGTTTTTGAGCAGTTCGAAATCAAGGCGAAATCGTTGTTGTTGTTGTGGAATAGCTAGTGGAAACGTAAATAAGGAATAAGTGTTTTGTGCGAAGGAGCCGGAAAAAAGGAATACAGAGGAGCGAGCGAGCGAGAGCATCGTCAATTACCGTTATCAGAGCGACCCGGCAATAACAAAAACACCATGTTGATCTCGTGCAAGTGCCTGAATTTCGTCGCCTCGACCTCGAAACTGCAGCGCAGCAACAGCAGCAGCGTCACTGGGGGCGGGCTGGGCGGCCCCGGCCTGGCCAACGGTAATCCCGGTGCGGGCGGTACGCCCGTGGGCGAGGTGCCCCCCGCGATCCTCCTGTCGCAGGTGTTCCAGCAGAAGTATCCCCGCGACTTTGTCTTCTACAGCCAGTTCATGGACTTCTTCAAGCACGTAAGTCTTATATAGTACCATACATTGTAGTAGTTCGTCAGCCGATTATCGCACAGCGCGCGAGAGCGGGACGGAGCGAGTATTGATTGGGGGGTAGGCGAAAACAGCATAAAAAGCAACAACAATGGGCAAAAGGCCTATGCTGGGCCACTAGTGCGCGCTCTTTCGCTCTCTCTCAGGGAATACAGTGGTGATACGATTTAAGGGAAAGCTAGCCAAGTTAAAAACTGGTAGATATTTTTTCGTTAGATTTAAAATCAAGAATAGAACTCATTATTTTAAACACATCATTCTCCTCTAAAAATACCAGGGACCGTAAATAATCATTATTTGAGATTTTTATTTTAAAAGGCCTACTGAGGTTTTTACATATTTTAATCAACAATTTAACTGGTTTTTATGCACTTTATAGACATGAACAAATAACAGTTAATTTGCTTTCCAGATTTGTTGAAATGCATATACTTTGTGGACAAGAGTAAAAAGAACGTTATTTTTGACGTTTAAAACAAAATATCACAGTAGTCTTTTTAAAATAAAAATCTCAAATAATGATTATTTTCGGTCCCTGAAAAATACTTGTATGACACAAATATGCAAACTGGTTAAAACGAGAAAGTAGAGATTAAAAAACAAAGAAAAATTCGAAATTTTAAACCTTTTTAATTTTTTAAATTAGTTTAAATACTCACATGACAAATACATTTATTTATTTTCAAACTCAGTTTATCCAAATCGGTTAAAACAAGAAAAAAGAGATTAAAAAACAAAAAATATTTTAAAGTTTCTAAATACTATTAGCTTGAATATTTAAAAAACTTATTTTTAACACATCATTCTCCTCTAAAAATACTCGCATGACAAAAATATTTAATTATTTTCCAACGCAGTTTATCCAAACTGGTTAGAACAAGAAAAAAGAGATTAAAAAACAAAAAATTATACATATTGTAAAGTTTCTATATACTATTAATCTATTGTTTTTTTTACATGTTTGAATTAAGCGAATTTCACTGTATTTGCATTGTTGCGTAGTGTGCGTTTGTATGTGTTTATTATCGTTCTTTACGCTTTGTGTGCCGGCTTTTTGCTTTTTGCCGTTTCTGCCTGTGCCGACTATTCTCACACACACAAAACAAACATGGGCCTATATATGTAGGCCTGGAATCGGGAATGGGAATGGGAATTGAATGGAAATGGTAGGGGGATGGTCTATGGAGGGATGTAGGGATAGGACAGCAACGCAAGAAGAAATAGGGTCATCCATTCCGCTCATGGGAAAATCGTGAGCAATCCTCACATTTTCTGGTTTATTTTCGGCCTGCCCAAGTGCAACTCGCATCTCTCTTCCGCTCCTTCGGCTACCCCCTCCCCCTGGCCATCCCCTCCCGCACCTGTTTATCATCCGCTCCTCCTTTGCACACAGGAACACCCTGTTCTTTTTCGGTGTTCTCTTTGCCAACCTGATCGCCGGTATTTTTAGTTTCCTGCGTCAGCTTCTGTTTTTCTCGCCGCCTTACTTTTCCCCGTTTTTATTCGCGTTTTTTATGATTTATGCGCTTTTGCTTTTCATTTGTGACGCCCTCAGTTGTAAGTAATTTGCATAATTCCGTTCTGAAATTTTGCTTCCCCAAAAAGCGTCACAAAGTCGCAAAGGGGTTGGCATTCCCGGGCATTCAGGTTAAAAGAAGTCGGTTCATGGGTCATAATTTTTACTTTCGGAACTCGGAAGTTGTGTGTTTCTGGGTAATTAAACGCATGAATTTTTGTTTACAATTTTTTGTAATATTTCAATATGTAGATCACCTATTTAGAGGTTCCATTCCTAACCAAAACACTTTAAGTCGGATCTACCAATTTGCCACAATAAATAAAAATCTTTTATATTTGCTGATTTCATCAAAATATATACATAGGTACATATAATTTATAGCTTTTGATTAGTCATTACTTATCTTTTGTTAATATGGGAATTTCTTTAAAAAGTTTCCATACTCTCTGGGCTGTTATTTATTTTTCCATATTTTTTCACTTATTTACATTTTTGAAAAGTAAATAAACAAGCAGTAAATTTACCTTTATAAACTCTTTTATTACTTTGAAATACATTTTTTTGTAAGCACCACTTAAGTAATTGTTGGTTTTAATGATGAAGAATAAATAAATAATGTTTTCGGTAATGTCGTTATTATTTTCCATTAGGAACTATTTGTTTGGTCATTCGATTAAATAAATTATTTATTTCATTTCCATTAGGAACTATTTGTTTAACTTCTTAATGGAATGGTTAATACTTATATTTATATCAAAATTATGTGCATAAATTCAGATCATTTATAAGTGTATTTATTAAAAAGGTAAACTGGTTCCTAAGTAGTTGACATTTGCAAGCAAATATTATCTTAGATTCTACCCATAGGAAGTTTCATTCGGGCATCTCTCACCTGTCTTTTTTTCTGCGTGTAATGGTTATTATTAAATTGTACTGTATTTTGCCATCTTTCGTTTCTGGTTCTATACCTCGACCAAATCCAAAAAACTCAGAATCTCTGCGTCATCGCCGCTTGTCTTGTCCACTTTTCAAGGTTAAATCTCTCTTTCCCCTTTTCTTTCTCTCCATCTCCGTTTTATCCCCTCCCTCGACCACGACACTTGTCACATTTTGACAGCCACTGGAGCTGCTAAGCCGAGGTTTGACAAGCAGTGGGTGGTTGGGGGTTCAAGAGGGTTCGGTTATCCTCACATTGTAATTGCTAAGTTTTACAGTGGAACTTCGAAACCCAGAACTTTTTAGTAAATATTTAAATTAGAAAAGTTTCATTGGCCAGAGAACGTTTTTATTATAGCCAGTTCTATAACTTATACTCTCTTAATTTGAATATTTTTTTGAGGATAGTAGTTTAATTATGGGTGTAGGACTGTATTTACTTGTAACAATCGGTTATCGCGGTGATTGCACATCCAGTCGCTATACCACAGGCCTGTAACTCGAGAGCCGTGTTTGTTGTAATGCAAAATTGAATTGTCCAATAAAGCTACGTCTTGTTAGTTTTTGTTTTTGCGGTTGGGAGATCGTCCGATATAGCCACTATTGTTGATTTTTTTTAGCTTTGTGTTGCACCCACTTCAAAAGCGCTGAGGCGTACAACAACAACAACAACGGCAGCAACAATAAGGACAAATAGACCAAAAGTGTTATTTTGAATAATTCAAAGCTCAAAACAAAACAAAAAGCCAGAAGAAAACAAGACAAACAAAAGGGTGTAAAACACCGAAGTTTTCACACGCTATGTTTTAAAAGATATCATTTTATTTCGGTTATAGAACTAACTTGGTTTTTATTTTCTTAAAACTTCGTAAAATTATTTTTACTAAATTTTTTGCATTTTAAAAAGTATTTTTAAAAAACAATACAAAGTTTTAGGGCCATATATAGTGGATTAAAAAAACTTAAAGTTATTATAAGCTTAATTTTTTCAAGTCACTTGAAGATTTCTGACCAAACACTCACTGCAAATAACTAAATTGTAACTATCTTAATAAAATTCGCACCCAAGAAGTATCTCAAAACCGTCGAGTGAAATTCGGTAACATTCAGGGTATAACTTTTATTCAAATACACGTCATATCCCCACTGGTATGTATGTACGCTTGTATGTATATTTATAAATTCGTATGCAAGCTCGTGTGTATATATATATGTATATTCTCTATATAGAGCCAAAACGGAACGCTTTTAGAATAAATTACGAAACCAGCGACAAAATACAAGCAAGAAGTAAAAAGCACAAAGAGCGGTCGAGGAGGGGGCGGTGGGCGGGGCGAGGGCAAAGACGGAGGCAGAGGAAGAACAACAACAGCCGAACCGAAATACAAAACAAAAAACTTGTTTATAATTTTTTTCCCCCATCTCTTTGGCAGCCGTATATTTGTTTGAGAGTGTGTGTGTGCGTGTGCATGTTGGATAAACAAGTTTTCGAGATTTCCAAATGCGGCCGGCCGGGTACTGGACCGCCGTAAATTCGATGGAGAAGTCCCGGGAAGAGGAAGAAAGGGGTCCCCAAAAGGCCCACTGGGCGCAAAAAATGGGGGAGGGGGTTACTCCAAGACCCTCACTCGGAAAAAAACCAAACAATATCAGTAAGCTTACTATCAAAATAATCTTTAGAAATATGTACAATATGGATTTCTTCGTTTCTAATTCTCCAGAGGATTAGGGATTATTTTATACACAGAAATTCATTTGAAATTGGTGTAATCAAAATTAAAAAATTCAGTTCAAGATAAAGATTCTTTATCTTTGTATTACTTTTTATGTTAGGAACTTTGGATTGATATATCTTCTACCAAAATCCCCCAAAATTTTAATTTCCTTTTTGCTTTGTTACAAAAAATTATTTATCTGAGAAAATATTTATAGATACAAATCAAAATCATTTTCTTTGTATCTAGTGGCCCAGAGGATTAGGGATTTCTTTATAAATAAATTTATTTTAAATTAAAGTATTTCAAATGATCGTTAAATCTTGTATTTTACCCAATTTTAGATTACATTTTTTAACAAAACTCTTATGTCGATGGCATTTTTTTGCTATGTGTAGGCACACAAAAGACACCCATGAGCACAATACATATACATAAAAGCCGGGTAGGGGGTCACTAAGGCATATAGAGATGGCTGGCGAATGGTTTTTTCGGGCCCACTTGATGGGCCAGTTGACAGGCCGGAGCACCATCACCACCACCACCATACCACCCCTTCCCATAAAAGCTATCAACTGCGTAGGCCCCAAAATGTTTAAATTATGAATTTATGCATGAAATTTGTTGAAAACGCTGGACGACATATGGCAATAGATGGTGATATTACAAGGCTATGCTTGAATTTTGTCAACTCGAACTTCCTAATGATTTGTGTAACACAAATTGAATTGACTGACAATAGAGCGTTTCATTTAGCATCTGTTAATAATCATAATTTTGTTCGTAAACATTAAACT